TTGAAGCTTGGTTCCACAAAACTCTATCGTCTTCTTCATAACATCATTTCTTTTTCAATTTGGAAATTTTGCAAAAATTAACTAAAAGATCTAGAAAGGGCACGAAAAATGGGTAGAAAAATATTTTTTCATATATTTTTTCGGTGAAATTCTCCATTTATTTTTTGGGTCTTCTTTTCTTGTAATAAATATGATTGTAATCTTTAATTGGGGCTAATCACTACATTTCAGTCTTTCTCTTGAGACTCTCCCTAGTTGTTCATATGTAAGTTTAAAACATTAATATATTGGTGTAATTTTAATTTTTAATTGTTTGATTTACACGAATGATGTTTGATTGCTCTATCTGTTTTTGGAGAATTTTGAATGGAACGAAGTAATTCTTTGCTGATTGAGAAGAGAATGGAAGGAGAGAGAATTGCTAATATCCATGACTAATGATATTTGGTGAAAAAAAAAGGTGAGAAAGTAAGAGATGAGAGGTGACAGAGAATTAGTAATAATAATGGTTAATGGTATCTGGTCAGAAAAATTAATCTGGTTCATTACAAAAATAAATAGACACATGTCAATTATATAAGATAACACTTGAAGAAACTAGAAAGATCATTACAGGAGAGGAGCCTCTTCCTTCCTTTGACTAACAGTGCACATGAAAAGAAAAAGATTTTCTTAGAACTAAACGATATTTAAGGTTTCAAAAAGAACAATTTTAAGTATGAAATGAGAAATTGAATTAATTCTATTTTGAATTGAATTTAATATAACTTTAATTCAGAACCAGTGGTTTCGGAACTCAAGTCTAGAGTCGTCAGGTGAGACATTCGGTTTACAAACCGAAAATCTATCTCCACAGCAAGCTCTTCAATTTAACCAGGTCCGGCACACTTTGGACTTCACACCGAAATTGTTGAGGCCCCGTGAAGACGGTTCTACTTCACTGGAAAGACGCGATACCCATTAGCAAGCATCTGGTGATCAACGATCTAGAAAGATTAAAAAGTCTTCTTTTTTAAAACTCTGTTAATAGAGTAGTAATACAAAAAGGGATCGACAAGGGGGTGCATAGGGGAGGAGGAAAGCAAAAACTCCAGCTTGAAGGTAACTAAAAAAAAGCTACAATTGACTGCACAATGATGAGGGTAGTGTCAAACTTTTCAGTTACTAATTGAAGTAAAAAAAAACCTAATCGAAACTGTTACATATATATGTTATAGGTTTGCCTGTGTAGTCAAACACAACTAATTACACATATTTATTTATTTTT